AGCTCCGTGTGACTTCTTCTTCTTCCCAAAGATGAAAATTCAGCTAAAGGGAAGGAGATTTGAGGCGATAGAAGAGATTCAGGCAGAATCGCAGATGGTGCTTGACAGGCTGACAAAGAAAGATTTCCAGGGATGCTTCCAGGCTTGGCAGCGGCGCTGGGATCGTTTTGTTCACTCCCAGGGTAACTACTTCGAGGGTGATGGATGAATTTAATACCTGAGATAAGTGTACGGGTTTTTATAGGCGCAGTCTGGAAACTTTCCGATCGCACCTCGTAAGTGTAGAGAAATTAATTTTAGAATCGGTGTGTAATCCACGGAGTACGTCTTTGGTCGTGTTCTGTCAGGTAACGTGTAGTGGATCGATGGCCATGGTGAGTTTCTAACTGTTCGTGAACCGTCTTTGTCGACAGAACCACGATTCCTGGGGAGAAGGGATCAGCGTCTTGCTTTCACCGTCACGGCAACGTGATTAATTACGTACAGAGTTCAAGCAGCTCCTGAGTTGCTAGCTGGATGGACAAGTCTTTTGAAATGTCACTATCATGAAACTAAAGAGAAGCCACGCGAAAACTAAGAGTGATTTATTCACACTGCTGTCTACCTTATTTAGTGTAAAGGTACAATTTGGCTGCACGCGACAGAGACAAGCGACCGAGGCAGGCGACAGATTTACGAGACCGAGACTGGTCGCGTCCTGTCTGCTCTCTGTACAATCATATGAAGTACAATTACGAGCGCGAGACAAAGACAGGCGTCAGAGACAAAGCACAGGAGACCGCTCTCGGACCAGTAGTGTCTCGCGACGGGCTCAGGCAGCACGTCAGTACATAACCAAACTGCTTATGATTCAATCTGAAATAACTCCTGAAATTATCTTCTTCTAATGATAAATGATTCTTTATTAACAGACAGAAAGATCCTTCTTCACGTCTGGTTTTGAATATTGAACTCATGGGTTATCTTTGTTTCTTTCGCAACAAATCTTCATCTTCTTCGAGTAACCTTTTTAGAAGCATTTTTGTACTCATTTTTCACAGAATATGTGCACGTATGTCTCAACAAAACAAAGAAAACAAACACTTTGCCGCATGTCTCGGTCGTCACCTCAAAAGTGTGTGGCGACAAGCTGCGATGTGTCCGTCTCCCGTCTCTGTCGCCTGCCTCGGTCGCTTGTCTCTGTCGCGTGCAGCCAAATTGTACCTTTAAGGACGCTGACAAACCTGAGGAGGTAACCTCCATCATACACTATTCGACAGACTTTTCATATATTAGTGACTTTTCTCAGCCTGTGTAGATTACTGACTTGGAGCTACGATTATTAACTTACAAGTGACGCTGTTTGCTGTATAGTGATCAGTGTCTAAGTGAAGACATGAACAATAAATTCTTCACATAATTTATTTTTACTGTTTTGAACGCGATTTTCTTAATTTAACATCACACGAATGACACCATGCTAAGATGCATTTTCAGAATATCTGGATATTAGATCAATTAATTTGAGAACGAAGTGTTACTGAATTCAGAAACTATTTTCATTCCTTTCCAAAACGTGTGTCTTTAGTATACAAATCTGCCTTTCATATAGAAGTGTTGGTTGGTTTGTGAGTATTTGCTATCAGGAGATTTTGGGCCTTATTAAAGTGTGTGTTGTTATAACCGTTGTCATGGAAACGATAATACGGGATGTATTATTTGAGGTTTTCACGGTGGTGAGTCTGAATATTTCTGTCTTCTAGGTTGTTGCGCCGTGTAGTCTGGTAGAAGTTTACCGATGTTTCAGAGGCCCTTTCTGCCTCCGTCATCAGGTGATAAAATCTGTTCTGAAACATTGGTCAGTATTTATAGTGTTACATCTTTGAAGATCAATCATATTATGCTAATCACCGCCAAACCTCATTTTCAGTTGTTATTTTTGTTCTAAAAGACGTGGACCCTTATTCAGAGAGAAGGATTGTGGTCACAGTTCGATTGTCTCATTGATCGAGGCATCTGACTCAAAAGAAGTTGACCATTGTAGTGTTGTGAAGCCTCAACCCGCCTGTCTGGGTTTATCATGAAACATCTAGATGCGCAATCCATCTACCTCAGCGAGCTACGTCACTTGTATTTGACTGCCAGACACCTGTTGTTTTAAGTCACGCGATGAAGTCGCCCTTGAAACAACTTAGACGCCTTCGTCTATCATCGTACGCGTAAACTATGGTCCAACTCTCTTCCAAGAATTCCTACAAAATGTCGAGTCACTCATAGTAGTCTGTAGGTCAGTAAAGCAACTTGAAAGATTATGTTATAAAAGAAAACATAGAGACACCGTAAAATTGAATGGGTAAATGCAAGTGTCGGCAACAGAGCTTAAGGTTGGAATCTGCCTTAAAATACCCACCTCTTGCTTGTCATTGTCACCCAGACTGACATCTTGAGCTATGGAGACCGTCTCGCTGACATAGTCTTTATGGTTGTTACCTGTCACGTGGTATTACGATGTCGTCAGCACACACTTTATATTCATATAAATAACGAAATACAAAGTACAAGCAAGATTTGTGACATGGTTAAACATTCTCTAGAAGCTTGTTTCCATTACCTCTGAAGTTCAACCCATTAATATAAGATCTTTATATTTTTGTGTTTCGTCTTGGTGATGTGTGCACAAAATCGTTGCCTTTGTAAAGATGATATGTAGTAAAATCCATCTCATCACTCATCTCCCTAAAGACTGAGACAGTACTCACCTCTGAAACGTCGGTCATTTTCTACGAAAATTACAAGACGTAACATACTAGAAAGCTGTCATCTTCATTCTCATCTTTGTGAGAATTCAGAATTTCAGTTGGTACATCTTATTCAAAGTACCTCGAGAGATTCATATTCAGAGTAATTAATCCCTGGTTGATTTGGCATATTTCTGAACATTTACAGAAAAAGTAAGTTGTTTGAGTGTATCTTGTTTGGACGATTAATGGATTAAATTTATTTTAATTCATATAACATACAGTTGACATAACCTCAAGAGAGACTGCCAGAACTAACTAAATTATTTTACTGGCAAACGTGTACTGATTAAATCATGGCCTTCTCTGATTATACCAATCTGATTGAGTAGAATACCTACCACCACTCATTTTACAATTTGTCTGCTACAAACGTTCTTTCCTTTAAAAACATTCATATCTTTTAAACTTAATATTAAACGTGTTTAGAAGGGTTTAGTTACTGGGGTGCAAATAATTTCTGTGCGACAGGTTGTGTTTGAACCTTAACAACTCTCCAAAAGGAATCGTTTATTTTTTTTCAAATTCCTGGTCAAATTTACAGCAATGATTTTTTTTTGAAAGTAGACCTTTTACATGATACTGTGCCGTTTATCGGAAAGTGTGCAGTGTTTTGAATATCGCCGCTGCAGCTTCTACCAAATCAGCGAGTAGGATATTGAAGCTCCTAGGGAAAAAACAGAGAGCGAAGGCACGTTTCAAATGTTGTGAAGTTTGAGCAGAGGTTTGAATGAACACGTCAAAGAGTGTGTATTCAATAGCGCTAGTGTCGCGATGTTACGTACGTACAACCAGAGTGGGCCCATATAACCCACCATAGCTGTAATGTGTGGGAGGTGTAATGTTGAATTGATTAGTACGGTTCTCGTTGGCACATGATATATAATTATACAAAATTTAAAAGTAAAGCTTTAATATAACCGTGTGTGTGTGTGATTATATGATCACGGTATAGCATGTCAAGGCCATGAACAGTTTAAAGTAATGCAGGAATGTTGGACGTCATGCTCCTATATGTAGCTGTTTTCAAAAGGAAAGAAGATAAAGTAACATTTTAATTTGTGTAAATATAATTGTCTTTCATCTTTCAGTTTTTTCCTGAAAATTTTTGTTGCGTGTTGTAGTAAAGTATGGCCAGGTGTCAAGTTTGTATGAAAGGTATATTGTACATTGTTTTATCATATTGTCACCATGTTGGATCAACGTCAGATTATCCTATTATATTGGTGGTATCGTATGATGGTTTTCGGTACAATTACTTTGACAAGAATATTACACCAAACATAAATAAAGTCAGGACCAGTGGGTCTCATGCAGAATATATGAGGAATGTGTTTATAACGAAGACGTTCCCCAATCATCACTCTATTGCAACAGGAGTTTACCCAGAAGTTCATGGGATTCTAGCAAATTATGTTTATGATCCTCATTATGGTAAAATTCTACGATATAGTGACGAGTTTTGGCATTTCAATGATGCAGTAGTACCAATATGGGTAAGATATAATTTGTGTATCCTCCTGTGTGCATAAAACTTTATTTTAATTAACGTTTCTTGTGTTATTTTATGTGTATTTGTGTGTGCCAAAATTAAATAGCATTGCATTTATTTTCATAATGCATTGTCACTATCATAGCTACAAGTTCTAGCACTTTGGAAATAAATTGTTGCACCCTAAAATTATTTTGTAACTTACTCATGGTAAGTGGCAAAGAATATATCTGGAACCTTGAATACTCACATCTAGCAATAGAAGTTAAGTTGACTATAAACCTGTTAAATAATAGCCTGTTTTAACACCACTGAATTTAATTTCCAGACACTGAATGAGAAGGCTGGAGAAGGCCGTCACAGTGGTGTGATGATGTGGCCAGGAGGAGGAGACGAGGTATACCAGAATACGACACTGACATTTAGTCATGGTTACAACTCCTCTGTTCCATTCTCAGATCGTGTCGACACTGTTCTGTCATGGATTCTACATCCACAAACACCTGCCAACCTTGTCTTCCTGTATTTTGAGGTATGAAGTGATGAATTTCTGAGTTACAGCCCAATGATTTATGAACATTTATTATTTATATTAATGTATATCTGATATTTTAATGTTTGGCTGATAAGGTTTCTTGTCATTTGTTGCATACTAGGGAATGAAATTTATTCACATTTTTACATTATACAATAAACATAATAAAATTTGGCCCACAACACATATTCAAATTTATTAATACTATCATAACCATGTGATTCCAAATTGGTAAGAATTTTGGAAAGATTTTTCTGGTTAAATTGCTGCACTGTCTTTGCACTGCCATGTCATATTTGTAGGCGTTTTATTTTGTTTAATTTATTACATGTTCAGAACATGCATGGAGTGTATAACTCACTAAACATCACGCCCAAGAAATTAACACTTAAGGTTGTTATGTGAGAGGTTCCATGGAGAAAAATATAATAAATATGAGAATAAACATTAAAAATGGCTAATACTGAAACAGATACCCGCAGGAAACAAGTGTTGTACTCTGTGTGAGATGCAGGGATGAGAACTGTCTTGAACCTAAGGCCTTAACACAAGAGTGTAACATCTTACTTCCTACTTCACCAGGTTCTCAGATACATTTTCCCATTACATGCAAAATTCCACCCAATCCTGGTTTATGCTTATTTTGTTGTTTAGTAGAGAAGTTGAAATTTTAAATTTAAATGGTGGCAGTCATAGATTAATATGTGTATATATGTACTTCACAGGAGCCTGATAAGACTGCACATGTATATGGACCTGAGTCTCAGGAAGTTCAAGAAGTAATTGTTAAAGTTGATGATGTAACAGGTTACTTGGTGAAGAAACTTGAAGAGAATAATTTGACAGATGCAGTTAATGTGTTCCTCTTAAGTGATCATGGGTTTGAAACAGTTACAACTTCAAGAATCATAAATGTAACAGATGTGATTAAAGGAATGAATTATACTGTGGTGGGGAATTCTCCTACACTTCATATTTATCCAAATGATGGTGAGTCTTAAATTAATTTGTTTTCATATCTCTTATAACTGTTCAGATAATAATAATTCCAGGAACTGTCAATAAATTGTAATAGCATATTTTATAGCATTACTTATGTACTTTGTTCCAAAAATTTGGGTTGAAATTGTATGCATGATATACATTACGATTTAAGCCATGCAAATGGCACACCACGGAAAATGTCACTATTTGCGTGTTCTATTTATCCCCCCCCCCCCCCAAAAAAAAAAAAAATAAAACTATGTGGGTCCTGTATAGGATTAAAATGTCTTGCCTGGTGATCTGTAACCTTTCGCTGTATAAACTATTCACTGGGTCGCAATGGACATGAGGTGAAGAATGAATATATGCATTGCTGAATGTGGTAGATATTTCCAACGCGTCATTTTTTTATGATTTCAGTGTAATTTTATTTTTTGATAAATGGAATATGTCAGCAAAGGGTTGCATGAATCTTTGATCATCCTGTGTTTAGTGAAGAGTATGAATTATGAAGCTTTTCATTATGCAGTTTTCTCCTGCTTCCATACTTATTGGTCCAGATATTGTCCTTATTTATTTCGCACGTGGTCTCGTTGCAGGTGATGGAGACGCTATTTACAATGCGCTGAAGAATGCGTCCAAAGAAATAGGGCATTTTTCAGTATATCACAAGGAAGAGATACTTGAACGTTGGCACTATAAGAATAATCGGCGTGCGCCACCCATATTTGTTTTGGCTGATGAGTCCTATGCTTTTGATGATATGTATCAGTATGTTGATGAATATGAGAAGTCAACAAACAAAACAAGTAAGTTTCATTGAATGAACCCATAAACTTTACACCCTGGAATGTGGACATGGTTTTACCTATAGTACATTATTTAACTCTTGCAGCCTAACACTTTAATGCCCAGTGGTACCACCTTTTTAATAAACAGTAAATCTTCATTTTGCTCACAAAGTGTATTTATTTTTATGTGATTCTCAGAGTAACTGATTATTTTCTTAAAAAACACTCACAAACTGATATTTGTAATGGTCAAGTGTTTTCTTTGAGGTAGGGACTGACTTTAGATTAGCTTTGGCTTAAAATGCTTATTGCACATTTGCTTTCAGTTATAACACATGATGGAAGTAATGTTTTTTGATACTGTGATCAAAATAAATGAACAAATCTAAGAGAGAGCAGAACATGATAATAAATGTTCGGGATACATTTCTTTTCCAACCAAGAGAGGATTTATTAACATGGATCTTAAGGAAATAGGGTCTGAGGATTCTGACTGAATTAAATTCAGGTTTGGTCTCAGTGGCAGGCTGTTGTGAATATGTTGTTAAACTTTCAGGAGGGAATTTTTTGACTGAGTGACTGTTTATTACTTATGAAGGACAAAATTGTATTTAGTCAGAGTTAAATAATTTTTCAGTACATTACTTCTGTGTTGATGTCAGTTCAGTTAATTTTAACACCCAACTGCTGAGAATGCAGTATAGTGCCACTGTCACATGTAGCAATAGAAGCGTGTAAAGCATTTCCACCATGAATCTATTAACAAGTAGCAATCCCAGAAATGGAAGAAACCTAATCAGTATGTTATTACATTCTGGTATGTTAATGTTTGTTTGTTTGTTATAGTTACAGATAATGTAACATTTGGTGTTCATGGATATGACAATAATGAAAAGAATATGCAGCCATTTTTCGTTGCATTTGGACCACTGATTAAGAAGCAGTACAAGATTGCTCCATTTGATAATGTGGATTTGTATTCCTTATTCTGTTATATGCTGTATCTCAATTCGTCAGTCACGAATGGGACTCTTGACAATGTGAAGTCATTGCTAGCGAGTGAACCAGATCCTTCATTGTCATACATACGTAAGTGGTGAATGTGACTGATTCGTAGGTTATGAGATTTCATGTTCTCACAGTAGGGAGTGTGAAGTTGGCCGTCTTCTGGGTTGTCGCTTTGTGCAGCCTGGTAGAAATTTACGAGAGTTTCAGAGGTGATTGCTGGTTCCGTCATATGGGCAATGAATAAGATGGAGGCAGCAAGTGCCTCTGAAACATTGGTAAACTTCTGCCAGACTACACAGAGTGACAACGCAGAAGACAGAAATCTTCAAACTCACCACTGTGAAAACCTCAGATCATACTCTGACATTGTAATTAATGTTCAGCATAAGTCTAAAATTCTGAACAACTCATTTTGGACTTTTCGTATATTATTTCTTTTAACATTATATTTGAACTTACTGTGGTTTTTTGTCAAGCACATATTTGTTTATAAATGGCTAGTATAATTTATCTACTGTATATAATGGGTGGATTTATTTGTAGCATATCACTACTTTTATGTGAACATTATTATAATAGTTTGAATTGTACTCGTGTATATGTATTGTATTAGTATGACTTATTCCACATCCTACTGACTAACTTATGGATCCATGGAATGTAATAAAGAAGTATTGTAGTCATTGTCATGATTCTGTTTATGTAATGTGACGCAACCAAAATGCAACGTAATTGTCATTTATATCTCACAGTTGGTGGGGTTGTAGTGGCAGCGTTGTCCCTCACTGCTGCTGCAATTTTGACCCTGTGCTTACTAAGACACAGACAGAAGAAAGCTGATTCATTGGGCCAGTCGTACAGGTGAGAAGTAGAATAACCTAGCCTTGTATTCAAGTGGACATTTGAGTGTCTTTTTGACTGTTCCTGGAATGTTGCGTTATGTAGTCTGGTTGATATTGACCAACATTTCAGATGAATTTACTGCCTCCATCATCACAGAGCAATAAGTAAGTACTCTGGTAGATATTGACCAGTGTTTCAGAAGAGCTTACGGCTGACAATATCAGGGTAATAATTAAGCACTTTTGATGGTGACAGTAAGCAGTTCTGAAATGTTGATAACTTTCTACGAGTCTACATGGCTCAGCATCACGGAAAACAGTCACCGGCTGACAATATCAGGGTAATAATTAAGCACTTTTGATGGAGGCAGTAAACAGTTCTGAAATGTCGATCACTTTCTACGAGTCTACGTGGCTCAGCATCACGGAAAACAGTCACCTTCAGGTCTGTCGTTTAGTTTTTATGTGAGCATTTGAGCCATATAGACACCAGCATGTGATGAGGTATGGTGGCACTCGAACTTTCCATTGTCAGTTGCTGTGAAGTGCGCTTAGGAAGAAGGCCCTAATAAAATGTTCTAGTAATTTAGAGGAGAGGGTATGGATGCATATGTGCTTACACATACAAACATAAATATACAGTGCGCTTAGGAAGAAGGCCATAATAAAATGTTATAGTAATTTAGAGGAGAGGGTATGGATGCATATGTGCTTACACATACAAACATAAATATACTGCTGTGTTAATAAGAAATAGTGCTCTTATGAATTTGGTGCGTCTGTCATCACCACCACTGTTACCATTTGTCTGTGCTATTAATTGACCAGATATTTTGCTTTAAAATCACCTGAAAGGATTTTGCAGCATTCATTCACTATGAAAGTTTTAAATCTTATAAACTTGTTATCTTAAAATCATAATCCAGTTAACTAAATGATGCACTGAAATAGTATAATAAATCAAATTGTACTTTTTTTTATCTTAAATGTGTATATTGAGGTTCCATTACACCTGTTTTTCTTTTCACTTTAATTTTTATTTTAATCTTTAATTATTGTCGTAACAGTCCACTTGACAGCACCATCCACCTTACAAAATTACTAGTCCTTGCCAGCTGGTACACTGTGTTAATAGCAAACAAAATTTCACTTACTGATTGGATTGCATGATCTGAAAAAAGATTAATTGCATTAAGAATGAGAAAAATTTGGCTTTTAAATGTCTAAGCATTTTCCAGAAAACATTCAGCACATGGCATCATCTTTCTAGAAAGGAAGTACATGTGATGGAATAATTGATGAAGCTATAATTTCTTGACAGGAAATATCAGTACACAATGACTAATGTGTCTGTGATTAACACAAATTATAAACCTCACATAAAGTAATTTTTTTAACCTTTATTTTCCCGACATTTCCCAACAGATTTTTAATGCATTTATGTTTGTGTTTTATGAAAACCATCGATTAGGATCACAACAGATTTTTAATGCATTTATGTTCGTGTTTTATGAAAACCATCGATTAGGATGTGCATGGGGTTATCCTAATCCCTTAACTTGCTTTGTTGTCTTTTTTCTAGTCTAGTTACATCCTTTTTACTTCACCACAAATTTAATATATCTTTAGTTTGGTTAAATATTTGATTTTCTAATAATGACATAACCCTAATCCTCTTTCAGTGGTTCGTGTACGGAACATGAACCATGAGACCACTTGTTTATTTCACAGGACAATCAGCAAGTCAGATCATGACCAGTCACAGAGTGAAATGGAAGCCCAGCATCTACTAGAAACCAATGACACTGAAGACTAATAGATCTACATGTATGAATGTATCATATTATATGAGAATAGCAGTTAAAGATGTTCCTAAATGCTTAAAAATTAATATGATAGATGTAATGCATTGTCACACACATTAATGTGTTGTTTATGTAATGCCAAAGTTTAATGCACATACGACTGCTTTGTAGGTTACTTAAGAGTTCTGCATTACTACATATATTTGTTTAGAATCGAAAGAGATATGTTTTTAAGTTGAATGTGGCAGTAATGGCCTTATTAAGACACTGTCCTGTACTCATCTCGGAAACCTGAGGAAAACTACAAATAATCTCAACCAACATGAGCATTTCTTGGACAGGGATTGCTCTGGGAAGAAATAAAAGTTCTATACCTTCTGCAAAGATGTTCGTAATTAGAGTACGCCATATTTGTTAAGTTATGTATGCACTCCAATTAATTGATGTATCTTATATATAATGTTAATGTTTATATTTCTTTTATCAGTGTGCATTATCTTAAGAAAAATGGACTTATCAGTGATATATTAGATCATAGGCAGGAGAGATATATTTTTAATTAATAATATACAAATTTAAGATGTACATAAATTTTGATTTCTGGGTGTAATCAGTAATTTATTAACAGGTGTTATCATTTGGTAATGTGACTTGGTTCAGACTGACCGTAATATATTTTTATTGAGTTCAGTTTGGAGGAAGACTAATTTATTCAAGTTAATTTTGTCTTTAGGCACTGGTTCCCGGCTTTCTGTAAACTGTCAGACTGTTACTACAGTATCTGATATTTGTGGTTCATCTGGGTTGTGATAACCATTGCTTCAGAGGAATGTATTGCTTTCATCTTCAGTCTCCACTTCACCCTGAAGATGGAGGCAATGCAGTCTTCTGAAATATTGTTAATCACATAGAAGCCAATGTGGTGTCAGCAGCCTAGAAGATCATGATTGACATGTTAATGCTGTAATAGATTTTCTGAGGACTGTTGCCAGTCTCACATTGAACAGTATTAAAATCAAAGAGCTGTCATCATACATTGAAAATTTCCAATGAAAAATTATTGAGTAATCAGCATGGAAGAGTGTTAGTTGTGAGAGATGTCCATCTATATTAGGTGCCTGACACTGCTGTGACTCCCTGCTTCTGAGAAGTGAAGTTACCTACCCCAAATCTGAGTCCTCTTTCTCAGCACTTACCATTAAATGGGTCATGTTCAGGGGTTTAGTCTTAAAGGTAATAGTGCCAGGGTGAGGTAGCATGCTATTCTGGGTTGACACAAATTATGCATTAGGAGAATTGTAATACGGGGGGGGGGGGGGGGGAGAAAGAAAAAGAGGGATAAGAAACCAGCACTTTTCAACAAACCATACTGTTTAGTCAGTGAAAGGAAATGAACTAAAAAAAGAACAAGTAATTTCTAAGCACAATAAAATATATACAAAACTCTGCATGTAGGAATGGTTTTGTATGTTTCACATTGCTTGTCTATGATTTTGTATATATTTGATGTTATTTGTACACCTTTTGACAAATTTTTATTCCATTGTACTTCTAAACTTATGATGACATTGTTAATTTGCTCAAATGGTCAGTCCTTTGACCAGTTGCATGAAAACCTGAATTACGTTTTTAATCAGTGAGTGCCTGTTTGGAAAGTGATTTGTCAGAAGTTTTAGAATCAAGGAATGAAGATTTTTTATTATTTATTTCATGTGATAAAATTTATTTTATAAAATAAGGTAATATTGTGATGCTTAATGTAATGTGTGATTTTTGGCTGTTGCATATGTTACATTTTATATTACACAATAATATAAATGTTCAAAATTTGACAGTGCATGAATTATGATAACACCTGCATGCTTTAAAATAGTTTTATTCAATGTTTGTTTATTATATGTTGCTTTTGTAATTGGTTTTCCTGCTTTAGATTGATTGTAGAATTTACTGTATTCATTAAATCTCATTTACAGAGTTAGTGTAGAGTCAAAGTTGTGAGAAATCAACATTTTGATTTCTGAAAAATGTTGTGGTCATATCAGTATATCTTACATCATAACTTGTGAATGGTATGTGTGTGTGGATAAGAACAAAATGGCTTTTTTTTTCCAGGTATGTCTTACAAAAAGTAACATTATTTTTCCCCAAACAAAATGTTTTCATACCAAATATGCATATCTTAAAAGGGTAGTGTGGGTAAAACAATTCACTCACTTATATCTTTGAACTTGGTGATATTGAAGTGTCACATTTCACATTGTCTGAATAGTACTGTTAATAAATGATATGACGTGGAAAAACATGGTTCTTTCAGTGAATTGGTTCGGGGAGAGTAATGTGCAAGTTTTTAGGGTAGAAATTGCTAGGGGAGTGAGATGGTTTTTACTATACCTTGTAAGAAAATGGATAAAAACAAACATTTCCTTTGGTGAGAGGAAATTTTTTTTTCTCATTATGACTTATGGGTCTGGAATTTACCATATTTCTGTGAACAGAACACTGCAGTATAGAGCAGCTTCACACACAAAAATAGCATGGGCATGTCAATAATAAATATGGGAAACAAGAATTTCTGTAATGTAATGTTTATGTACCTACCTTGTATTTTAACATTTTGAAAGTGACGTGGAATGGAGTGAAAATTTAGGATTTGAGGTTTTCATGATGGTGAGTCATCACCCTCATGATGAAGGCAGCAAGGACGTCTTGAGACGTCGGTAAACTTCTACCAGACTACACAGCGCAACAACCCAGAAGACAGACATTTTCAGAGTGAAAAGTGTTTCACATGGTAGTTGTAGAGAAACGTGAAGCATTCCGTGCCCAGTATACTGTATCATTAAGTTTTGTAGTTTTTAGATAAACAAGGGATTTTTATATATCATATTTAAGGACCATTGGACTAATCTTGATCAAATATTTGAAGTCATACATGAATAGAGTGAATACTCCAGAATTATTATGCACTAATTTGTTGTAACTCCTTTCATGTTTACAGCTTTATAATAATCTGTTCTATAGTTTACAGGTCATTGCATTGTTTCTTAGATGGACCTTTATCTCTCAGCATATGGCCAGACTTGAAGTTTGGATATTGAATTTAGTTGTAATTACTGCCTGATATTCTCATAGTTCATCATGCCATTGTGGCTAGTGACCTTGGGGCTGGAGAGTGAAATGTTAAACCAAATAGCAAATTTGTCCAGTTGGGTGAACTGGTTTCAGTTATAATTATCAGTAGGATCTGGCCTTGCATTACCAGAACTCTTTATTCTCTGATTACAGACTTGAAATGAAGCAGCTGATATGTGCATGAGATGGTCTTTGTGCTCTAAACAACCAGCAGTACAAAATGTCTGCAGCCTCGACTGTAAAGCTTATTCTTTTGTTGCTTATAAACTTGGAACTTATCGGTGCGTTATCGAAACACCCACTACTTTTGATCGTGTCTTTTGATGGGTTTCGTCATGATTTCTTTACAAAGCTTGCAACTCCAGGTTTAAATAGTTTCAAGTCAAATGGTACACATGCACCATATGTTCGTAATGTGTTTCCAACTAAAACATTCCCAAATCATCATTCCATTGCTACAGGCTTATTTCCAGAATCTCATGGAGTTCTTGGAAATGAAGTATATGACCCTACTCTGAAGAAAGTTCTGGAATTTGGTTCAGAAATGTACAACACTCAAGGTATTACACCAATTTGGGTAAGTGAACAGCTTTTTACTTTCTCAGTGTGTAGGAAATAATTTTGAAAGAAGCTTTCTTAGCTAAGTTCACACTCATTTCACTGCATATCTAGAAAGCCATTTTATCATTTGTGGTCTTCATTTTATATCCTACACTCCTCTGTCAATATTTGGTTAAAATACCGAAACAAATGAATATATATTTTATATCTATTTTATGTATACATAATGTATATGAGGAGTCATTTTTGAGAAATGTTTCTACACAGATTTTAGCATACATTTCCCCCACACTACAAAATGTTATAAAAATCTTTTGAATGTTTTGAAGATGAAACATGGACCTATACAACCTCCCCATTTGTGTATCCATCGCATAAAATGGGATGCTATTAGAGGCTAGTTTCTTTCAGTTATGTCTTGGAATTTTGTGGAAGGTGAAGATGTGATTGTATAAACAAATGGATATAAAACCTCCATTTTTAATCTGAAGATATGTTTCACTGTAACAAAATAATCCCCTGTAAAGTTAGAAGAGAGATAAATTGCATAAACAGTTCAGTTGGACTGGACCAAGCAACCCTGTCCTGCAGTTGGTTGATTCCAGTGAAAGACTTTGAGTATGACAAATGAAGTGTGATGAAACTTCCCATATGGATGTTCTGTGTTTCTCACAGACTCTAAATCAGTTGGCTGCAAGAGACCGTTACAGTGGTGTCATGATGTGGCCAGGGGGTGGTTTCAGTTACAGAGGCATAGTGCCCAAATTCCACTATGCATGGAACATGAATGTATCATGGGAAAGGAGAGTAGATTTGGTCATGGACTGGTTAGTACTTGTAGCATTTACAAACACCCATTGCATGTAAATTGTATTTTGGCAGGTTAGTAATATTCTACATTTTCCAGTAGTGGAGTTGAGGCAGCAGCGAAGTCATCTCAGCTGATCAGCCTCAGTGGTACAGAACAAAAGTCTCATGCTTCAGAGGCTCTCTCAAGTACAGAAAACTGTTCTGTGTAAACATGACTCATTACTCAGAAAACTTACTATATTTATTTGCTGTGAAGCTTCAGATTTTGTAAAACATACAAGTAGTATACTTTATGCAAATGATGTTTGAAAATATAAATTCTGTTTGCTGTGGCATATTTTTAAATAAAATAGAATTACTGGTTTGTTTAAATTTTCTGTTGAAGTATTTGTGCTGGTGTCTGTCTGTTGACAAGAATTAACATCTGTTGTTACTGTTGCAGGTTCAGTCACTCCAGTACCCCAGCTAATCTGGTTATGTTATATTTTGAAGAGCCGGACACTACTGCACATGCATTTGGCCCTGAATCTGCCCAAGTGCTCAGCTATATTCAGAAGG